TAAGCTGGAGACGTCATCCAGTATGTTTTACGGTGTCACTGGGTGGTATATGAAATAATAAAGTGCCCAAGTTTGGCTCTTACGTTAATGGTTGACCACACTATTCGTCAGGATCTTGTAGCCGACTAAGTTCATCTTCATATATATATATATATATATATATATATATATATATATATATATATATATATCCTATCTCATGCAACAGTCTTCCTTAGAATTGGTTTCAGTTCTTACCTAGTTTGCTGATAGAAAGCAAACTGTTTCAGTATAAAAGGAGCTTTGATGTGGTGAAGAAGGCAACACCATCTGGAACTCCATTGAACCTGTCTGTTGGAATACAGGTTTGCTAAGTTAGTTTGATGTCTTAAGAAATCTATTTGTAGATGCATAAAGTTACAGGCATTTGATAACTAGTAACTTAGAAGCATCTGTCTTGCATAATCAAATCACCGAGTAATAGATGCATGCATCAGGCATACATGACTAGGTAAATCAGATTGATGGAGTTGTAAATGACCATTGACTGAATATAAATTATGTATACCAAGCCACTGGCTACTTAACACTCCTGTGTAATATGAGGTGAAAGCAAACAGGAAAACACTTTAATGTGGTCACTGCGGCGTATGACAGTAATCCATGAGTTCACTGAATTAAGATCTTAGATGCATAGCAATATTTTAGCTTTATACTTTCAATCCATAAGACAAGCAAGTTGATATTTAGAGACTTTATGTGACACAGCTGATAAACGTCTTTAGCGATGTAGACGCATAAATACTTTCTCTTGATCTAAATATCGAACTTCGAGTTATTTCGTACCTGTTATTCATTGTGTTTCATCTGTTACCTTGTGGTCTTGGTTGATGTACTTACCTTTATTTCTTTTGTAATCCCTCCTTTTGATATCTTTTTCGTGTGTTTATGCGAGTTCGGTAATGTGGATAGGTGTAAAACAGTACTATATATTACCTGATTGAGTAGTTTCCTTATCATGGTGTTTATATTTCCCAAGAAACTAAAGAAAAAACAATCTTTTTAACGACGTTCCACTAGTCAATGCTAATAGCTTTATCAAACCGGGTTTCACAACATAACTGATATTTCAGTTGAAGTTCTTTGGCATGGATAAATCTACTTTTCCGATTGGCTGAAAAAGATAAGGAGCATATCTTAAATAGTAATTTTGAAAGATGTAGGTTAAAAATTTAGATTTGTGTGTACACATATGTAAGTGCATCATTTATGTCGTTTTGGGGGAGTAGGTTGAAATCAGATCAAACTATGTTCTATTCCTTCATTCTTGTTTGGAAAAATCTACTCTATTGTATGTGAAAAGACTCCACTATGAGGGTTCCCATATGATTTTTAAAGCTTTTTGAATCGTCCCAGCTTTATGCCAGTCCATCTACTTACATAAAATTGTGATACATAGAGATATGCCTGAAATGGTGTTAAGCTTTTGAACTCTACTGGATTTCTCGAAAGCAGAGTCAAAGCCCTTCGAAGATCATTTTCTTGGACTGTGATTTCATGAGAAATTTGTTCTAAGTGTACCGCGTATCATTCTGAACAATTTAGTTTATGAACACAATCAGACTGGGAATCATAAGAAAATGTTATCCTTCATTTGAGCTAAAGAGCTCTGTAGTGTGTTTGATACTCTGTAGGAACATTTTAAGATCAGATGGTCAGAAAGAATAAGTGACAAGAAACTCTGGCTGGCTGTCCACGAATCAACCAACAACCCATCGACCAACAAACATGCAGAAGAAAGTGGAAATGGATTGGATGTGACATACATTGAGAAGATGATTTGGGGACGTCACGCGCCAGGCCCGGTCAGGTCGTCGAGTGGACGCCAGATGGGAAACGACGATTTGTGCGTGCAAGGGTGACATGGAGGAGATCATGTGAGGAAGAAATGAAAGCTCGTGGGCAATGGTGGAGCCAGGTTTAGAAGACTATATAGGAGAGATTGAAATGGCGACGTGCTACTGAAGCCCTTTGTCCCACAAGGAATCAGAAGGATAAATACTAAAAGTATAATAATAGGAAGGTTTTAAGAATGAAGCTTACCAGCCAACTTTTCATTCTGAGTATTTCGCTCACATATCTTAGTTACTTCACTTTCTAACATAGATGTAGTAGGAACCTTTATCAAATCTGCAAATACAATTTTCCATCTGTAATTCACACACACACACATTGATCACACTTGGCATGCTACATTTACTCATAATCCTTTTCTCAGTCACCTAGTAACTCAGAGTCATCCATACATAAGGAATTTGTCTAAGTTGTCAATCATATTTACACTTAGATGATGTAAATCCAAATATACAAATACCGAGGTTGGTGAATATCATTTATTCACAACCCAAATGATCTCAAGCTGAGTATTTTTACTTCACATTACAGTCTCTTAACGGTATATAACTGACATATGATTATCAAGTGAGTTTTAGATTTCACATGAAAAAATGTTGATCAGCTTGGAACTGTATCGTAACTGTAATTTGTTTAAATGTTCAAGTGATTCACACTAGGTGACTTTAAAGGTCACGCCGGTAACAATGAAAATCATATTCTGAAAAACAGCTGAACTTTTTTAAACTTGAAGACTTGTTAACAAATTCATTATTCCGTTTTGAGATTTGTGCGGATTTATTGATTTCAGCTTGGTATTCATCATGGACTAACATCAGTTCCAGAAAAATTTTAGACACGAGAGCACTGGATAGCTGTTTCTTCCTAGTATGGGACTCCTCAGCGATGCGCACCCATGGTTCCGTACCACCAGGGATCGAACCCGGGACCCTGAGATTTCACGGCCAGCAATTGCCATTGAGCCACTAGGTTAGAATCCAGTGGTCCACATTTCTTACTTCTATCACTTCACAATGTGGTACTACCTCCATCCGATGCCGTCCTTGAGCAGTCGTCCTGATGTTCTACTTTGTTGATCCCACTGGTCACGACTTCTCATTGGAAGTCCGAAAATCACTTCTCGAAGCTAGTCACCAATGAGTAGTAGATTAGTTCAGTTTTGAGGTTTATGGGGATTTATTGATTTCCTAGCGGAATCATGGGTGCACACTGCTGGGAGGTCCCTTACTAAGAGGGAACAGCTGTTTAGTGCTCCCCGGCTTCCAGTGTTTCTCCAACTGATATCAGTCCATGGTGTATACCAATCTGAAATTCTTCGCTAGCATTTGTGATACGACAAAATCCTTGACTATTATCTAGATTATAGTCAGTGTCGTTTCTAACATACCTCTGATGGTCAACCTTTGGGGAGAGCAATTATAAACACTGTCCTAATAACTACTGTCTCTTCGTTACCCCACTCCCTTGTGTTCTACCAACTGAACTATGACCTGCTGACCATATACCAATTTCACTTCAATAACCAAGGATTTTACCGGACTTCCATGTGAGTTCTTGATATGCAACTTTTCGTTCATTGTATGTACACTTGCTGCCAAGCCAAGTCTTATCATCCCAATCCAAATCGAGCTGGATTAGAGTGGAGTGAAGCATGAATCTGTTTATCAGTTTGACTATTTGAGACAGCCGTTGTTTGACAGTTGGGTTATGTGCGTTATTTGGTAGAGTATTAGGCCAGTAACCTATTATTATTATTGTTGTTATCATTATTATTTGTCCCTTGGGTTCCTAGTGGAACATAGGGCTTCAGTATCATGTCTCCATTCCAATCTGTTCTCTGCTGTCTTTTCAACCTGGCTCCACGACTTCCCACAACCTCTCATTTCTTCCTCACAGGATCTCCTCCATGTCACTATCGCCTCGGACGCCCAACTCGTCGTTTCCCATCTAGGTTCAACTCAACGGCCTGGCGTGGTGTGTGATGTCCCCAGTCGACCTTCTCAGTCTATGCCCAATCCATCTCCACTTCCTTCAATTGCATATTTGTTGGGTGATAGGTTGTTGGTTAGTTCGTAGCCAGTGTTCCTTGTTGCTGATTGTTTCTGGCCATCTGATGTTCAGTAACGAGCCGGTGTAGGCAGTTGTTGATGAATGTCTGTAGTTTGTTGGAAATGTCTTTAGTAACGCGTCATGTCTCTGAACCATCACATAGAAGCACTGACATGACATTGGTGTTGAAAATCCGGATGTTGTTCACGCTTTATGCTGATTGCAGATCTCTACACTGGTTTCAGGTTAATGAACGCCTGTCTTGTTTTTCAGATCCTGGTTTGACGTCCTCGTCTGTGCCTGTGCCACCTGTAGTTGAAACAGTGCTGCATAGATAGGTGAAAGAGACTACTTCCTTTAAGTTTCTCCCGTTGATTATTGACTCTCCAGTTGATAGTTTGGAGAGTCCACTTCCATTCCACCTGCTTTCGCAGATTCGTAGTCTAGCACTTCCATGCTATACCTTCTCATCTCCTTTTCAATCTGGGCAGCCTTGTCAGCTAGGCTCAAACATAGTGCGGACATTGCATATCCTCATGTTTACTTGCACTTTTGTCGAGAGGAGACACATCGGCCAATCGGCTTCCCGAAGGCTTTCACCAACCAGCGTCATTTCGTCTCCCCGATATTACGGCGAAGAATAGTTTTGTTTTTATGTTTTGTATTTTGTCTGTGTTTTGAAGTTTCTGTATCGGTTGTATTGGTTTTGCGGGGTAGAGTTGGTAGCCCTATACCCAACCTTCCCTCTTTACCCGGGCTTAGGACCGGCTAGTAACTAGTAAACTAGTTAACCAGGAGAGGTTAGGCCAGTAGCCTAAAGGCCGCTAATTGGGATCTTGACATAATTCAGATTTTCATTTCATCTTTAATCATAACCCATCATCAAAAATACAAGTCTGTCAACCAGCGGCTATCTCATATAGGCACACTGATACAATATGTTTGTTTCTTAGTGTATCGTTTAAGGTTACTACTTCCCAGAAAATCTTTCACTTCAAGCGTTCATCCAAGTATATTGTTTTGTATAGGTGTAAAATTTTTTCGCTAAGTGACATAAGGTAAACTATTCAAGAGAAAATACTTTAAATGTACAAGCCCAATTCAATATCTGTTCATTTATATTTCAAAAATGCATACTGGTAGTTGAGCTATAGAGAAGACCCATACTAACTATTTACGGACTGTACACATTTTGGAGGCTAATATAGAGAAGGTGTCAAAATTATATATTTCTTCTTTGAATTCAACATTCTTGATAATGTTAATGACGGGTCATGGCTAGCAGGGGAATCCAGGATGAGCATTTCGTCCTATTTGGGACTCGTCAGCTGGATGCACGTGTACGTGAATGTACGTGTATTGTAAGTGCAGATTTGTTAATTTTTTGTCTTAAATTCTTTGTTTTTCTTTCAGATGACCGAATATTTCTTGCATTTCTGCGTCAATCAAAATTTACTCATGCTGAATCACAAATTCGTTTAGATAATTTTATCACACTGCGTACATCTCCTGAAAGTTCTGTCACTAACTGGTTTGATCTTTCGTCATTAACCAATTCTATGCTTGAAGATTACTTCAGAATGGGGTTAGTATTCTCCCTAAAAGATTTTTTTTCATGATTGTTAGTAGTTTATAACTGACGCTTCATAGTAGTCGAAGAGATATGCAAGAAGAAACCATGATTTGAAGAACAAGTTGACAACTTCATGATGACACTGTCGCCAATGGTGTGGAACGATAAATAATAGCACACTATGGAATCATCAATATTTAAAACACGAAATCAGCTATTCCCTATGTCGCAAGTCATTTGTTTGATCCCTAGGGATATCGTTTCCAAGTATCCTAGAAAATTCAGCAAAATTTATTTGCCAAAATAACTGGGCCATTTGTTGATGCTTTCAATGGAGCCAATTATAATTTATCAATAGTTGTTATTTCTGATCGACTTGATTGACATCTGTTGGTATACTGACACCTATGTGTATGTCTAGATATTGCCTGAAGACTCACTTTATTTGGTAGTGGTTAGCATTGGAATGCAGAGCATATACTTCGTCCCATATGAAACTCATCAGCTGAATGCAATTACATTCTAGTAGGTGATGTTATCAGCACTGAGAGTCAAACCCAGCATAGGAGCCCATATGCCAACATAAGTTGATCAATTTCATCCTGTATAACACTGCGAAATTACGATTATCAATAAATAACAACTAAAACCTGTTGGATAAGAGGTGTCTGTACTGCCTCAGTGACTTAGTTGGTAATGGTGCAGCGTTTGAAGTCATGAGTGTTGCGTTCATGTCACAGAAAATAACACTGCGACGAAGACTAACTAAAAATCAATCAATTTTCCTCAATAACCTGTCAAAAGAATAACAGTACCATTTTCCTTAATAAACTTACCTTGAAGTGGATTTCCTGAGGTTATGCTGAGAAGTCGTAATCTATAGAGTCATCTTGGTCAATGACATAATATGATGGTTACGCTTAATCACAAATCGACAGAAATTGGTGAAAGTGGAGCGTTGAATCTCAACCTAGTCAACACTGAACTTGACTATGGACATCATCTCTTACGAGGTCGTAGGTATGCACTACTAAAGAATCTTGAAATAGAACAAAGCAGTTGTTCAGTACTTTCATAATTCCACCTGTCCTCTAGCTGATGTAATTCTGTGATGAAAGTTTCTCTGGAATTAATAAGTCCTCCGTAAACCAGTCAGATTTAAGCAGATATTCCTTAAGTTCAGAGGTCTAATGGGATTAATCCATTTCGAAGCCATATTTATCAGTCAATCCCCACAAATCTTTAAACCGAAATACTATCCAGAAGGTCTAAAGACAAACTGTGAAGTGTGAGATTAACCAAGTTAGGTGAAATGAAAAATACCCACTTATGGCATTGGATGACGTCCGAGCTATTTCGTGAATTACAGGAAGCAGGAAAATGTAAACAACTAGTTCCCAACCTAGGAGTTAAATAGTAGCATGCTGCCTAAAAGACTTGAAAGTTCTGCTTTCTATCTCTTTCCGGGCCATAAGTGCAAGGTGCTGAGAAGTACCTTACTAGAACGAGAAATCTCTTCAGCGTTCGCATATTTTCAATAATTCTTCAACTGATTTCAATTCATGGCGAATACCTCCGCCTAATATTTCTTCACTTTGTTTTAGATGATAAACTGAGCGTAGTTTTATGACTGTTTTCATTACACCTGTCCTTATGAATGCGCATTAATCGAGATTCTGATATTTATGATATGACAGATAATTCAGTTTTCGAACTTTTCAAAGGTTTTTCAACCCATGAAATACCGCAGTGGTAATCACCATAAAAAATTTCCTTGTAGTTATCCCCTTGAGACTTCAACTAAATGTAGAGAAGACAGAGGTGATGAAGATACCCAGTAACAACAACAACAACAACAACAAGAAGCACCAATAACCATCAGCGGAGAAGTCTGAATGAAGTTGTCTCTTTCACCTACCTACCTATATACCTACCTACCTGCCTATCTAGGCAGCATCGTTTCAACTACGGGTGGCGGCAGTGGCACAGATGAGCATGTCAAAGTCAGGATCGGAAAGACAACAAGACGGGTCTTCAGTAGTCTGAAATCATTGTGGAGATCTACTGTACTGCAGTGCACTCCACTCCACTCAGCATAAAGCGTGAACAGGATCCAGATTTTCAATAGCAATTTCGGTCAAGTTAGTGCTTCTATGTGATGGTTGAGAGAGTTGGCGCGTTATGAAAAGTGCTTCCAACAAACTGCGGACATATGTCATCAACAGCTGCCGCCTATGCTCAAATGCTTGATATTGAAGATCAGATGAGATGGTCAGAAAGAATAAGCAGCAAGGAACCCTGGCTGACTGGCTGGCTGGCAACGAATCAACCGAGAGTCCATCACCCAACAAACATGCAGAAGAAGAAAGTGGAGATGGATTGGATTGGGCATACAGTGAAAAGACGGTTTGGGGACATCAGGCGTCAGGCCAGGTCAGGTCGTCGAGTGGAACGTGTATTGGGAACGACTATTTGGGTGTCCGAAGTGAGGGTGACATGAATGACATGGTGTGTGAGGAAGAAATGAGAGCTTGTTGGTATTGGTGAAGTGAGGTTGAAAAGAGTGGAGAGAAGAGATTGAAATGGCGATGTGCTACTGAAGCCTTATTTTCCATTAGAAACTCAAGAGGAAAATGGATAACAATAATAATGATAATAATAATAATAACCCCTATGGTATTCTCATTTATTCTGTTAACTTGACACGACGGAACGAGTACACTTCCTTAAATTCATTCTAAAAACATTATTGAGAGCTGTTTCAATCACAGGAGATTATCTCTGACTGTCTACATATTGTAGTGGGTGCTACTGATATGAATGTTCATCAGTAGTATATGTTGAGAGGTCAGAAGAAGTCATAGGCAGTTACGAGTGACAGGTAAATATTCTGTCCAGAGAAATGCCAAAGATGACGTAGGCATAACAAGAACAAGATGAAATAGAAAAAGAGGAAATGAAACATATTGTGCAGATGTATACTTCAATAGAAGCTCTGCTCGACACAGGTTTCGTGCTTGTTGGCACTTGTCAGCAAGGCATATCTGAAACTTCAACAGAACTGATGATCTCTGTGAGATTCGACACCATGTCACCACTAAGATACTAAAACCATGATTGACCTCCTGTAGGAATGGATTACCTATATTAATTGATCACTATTGAGCGATCCATCTCATATTGTTTCCAACCAACTAACATCCATCAAAGTGCATCACGATGGTAAGCCTCCTAGCTTGGTGACCACATTACAGAAATGATCGATGGAGTTCTGTCAGCCCTCAGGACTGGACAACACGTGATTGGTTGCTCTCCAATCATCAATTAGTTTATAGAACACAAAGTCTAGTCCTGATTGTCCGTATGTATTTTAGGGGACCTGATTCATTTGTATATACATCTTAATTACCTGACAACAAGGTACCATAATTTACAAAATTCAGACGATCGTTTTCAAGTATAAAAACAAATGAGATAATGTTCAGTTATGGATATCTCTCGACATGCAGTTATTTCCAAACTATATGTTTATACATGAGTGGCTGAGGGACCAATCGAAAGCTATCAAACCGAGCTAAACAGGAAAGTTATCAATAAAGTCAAAGAAAAAGTGACCTTTAAAATGAATAAAATGATACAAGACCGATAACACTTATCTGAGATACACGTTTTTCACTTTTTGGCTAATATGACAAGAAGTATACAAAGAGAGAAGAGATTTCTACAAAACTTTTGGTGCTGTTCTCATTTATGTTCGGTCGTCTGTTATAGACTTCTGAAAAGATCAACAGATCTACTCATTCAAGACTGTTATTATGAGACTGATGAGAATCATATTCAGGTAGTACAAATTCTTCTATCGTGTAAACCGTCATTCCACGGTCTTATCTTCGTTTGTAGTCAATAAAGTTAGCTTAGTAAAACACAGGAAATAATTTAATGGGGAAATTACTTTTGGCTTTAATTTTTAAACTTTGAATCGTTTGAAAATCCGGTTAATATGTCGATTAATCCTCCAAATGAACTTACCATTACAATGTAATATAATCTGCAGAACATTTCAACCCCGCATTTCCTAAAATTGTTCTTTACCTAGTGTTCACTGTCCAATTGGATTTCTTCCGGATGGGACATTTCTATTCATGGTTCGAGTTGGTAAGTGCAGTAATAATATTCCTTGCTTGCAGTTAAAATTCGTTTGAGGTGTCTTTTCTGAGGGGGTTGTTTTCCTGTCAAAGTAGTTTTCATCTTGTCATGTCAGTTAGAAAATCCTTGAACTGCTAGAAGCACCGGACAACTGTTCCTTCCAGTGTTCAGAAAACTTAGTAGTGCTCATATGTTGTATGTTGAGAAAAATAAGATTGATTGGATGGAGACCTTGATATTACCTTTAGTCGAATCTTCATACGATTTGAACTATGGTACCTAGACATGGAATCCAGAATAGCGTTCCGTACTAAATAATAATTTATATTTACTACAAAACTGAGAAACTTAGGGAATAACACTATAGACTTTGAACTGATAGATGTTGAGTTCAAGTTACAGTGTGAATGAAAACAGAAAGACATAGGAACATCTATCCAACAGACATCAGAAGGAACGAACCTCATCTTTTGGTTCTCATTGCCACCCATCATCAAGCAAACAATACGGAAGAAATGTGATATCTGCTGAATATATACTATTGAGAGATATGCGTAGCTGAATGAAACTGATGCTGATATACAGGTTTCACCGTCGGGTTAGAATGATCCAGACACATGACTACAGTAAATCATTATCTGAGGTCAAAATCACGTGCAGTATACACAGAAATAATCTAGCTCTTATATACTTAAACGAACCCCCTGACAAAAGCATAACTGAAGTCCTGAAAGTCGGGAAAGAAGCAGGACCAGATGGAATCCCGCCAGAAGCACTGAAAACAGACTCAGAGACATCAGCAGCGGACATGCTCACATCACTATTGCAGAGGATTTGGAAGGAAAGAAAGGTACCTGCCCATTGATTGGGAAAAAGGCTGCGGTGTCAGACTGTCGAAGAAGGGTGGGCGACCTTAGTCTTCGCAAGAACTAGCATGGAATCGTGCTCCGTCTCTGTTCACCCCAAGCAAAATATTAAACCGCATCATCCTATAGAGCCTAAAACACTCTCTGGATTCAAAATTACTATCGGAACAGGCTGCTGACTTCAGGAATCACAGATCACGTGTAGATCAGATTGAAACGCTACACTACGCGTCATCATAGAACAGAGAGTAGAATGGCAGTCAACTGGATCATTATCTCAACTTCATCGATCTTGAAAAGCCTTCTGACAGCGTCGACCAAGAGGTAATTTGGCAGGTAGTTGCTTCAACAATACTGTTTTAGTACCACAAACCTTTATCACCCTCATTCAAACAGCAGCTATGTGCTGTATGATGCTACATGGCAAGTGATTCACAATCGAAAGCTCGGCTTAAGTGATGTATTTGAACTAAAGATAGAAGTGAGACAAGGTTGCCACACACTATCACCAATGATCTTCCTGAATGCGGTAGACTCTCCTCAACTGGATCGTGCAACAGACACCTGTGAGGCGCGAGAGGATAGACTTACGCTGTTTGATCTATGAAAAGAAGCTGGAAGATTTGGATTTCGCCGATGACGATTTATGTCTAATGTATTATGTCGTACAAACTCGAAAATCTACAGGCGAAAACCAACAATTTGACAGGAGACGGGAATTCCTTCAAGTGAACGAAGAGAAGACAGAGGTGATGAAGATACCCAGTAACAACAACAACAACAACAACAAGAAGCACCAATAACCATCAGCGGAGAAGTCTGAATGAAGTTGTCTCTTTCACCTACCTACCTATATACCTACCTACCTGCCTATCTAGGCAGCATCGTTTCAACTACGGGTGGCGGCAGTGGCACAGATGAGCATGTCAAAGTCAGGATCGGAAAGACAACAAGACGGGTCTTCAGTAGTCTGAAATCATTGTGGAGATCTACTGTACTGCAGTGCACTCCACTCCACTCAGCATAAAGCGTGAACAGGATCCAGATTTTCAATAGCAATTTCGGTCAAGTTAGTGCTTCTATGTGATGGTTGAGAGAGTTGGCGCGTTATGAAAAGTGCTTCCAACAAACTGCGGACATATGTCATCAACAGCTGCCGCCTATGCTCAAATGCTTGATATTGAAGATCAGATGAGATGGTCAGAAAGAATAAGCAGCAAGGAACCCTGGCTGACTGGCTGGCTGGCAACGAATCAACCGAGAGTCCATCACCCAACAAACATGCAGAAGAAGAAAGTGGAGATGGATTGGATTGGGCATACAGTGAAAAGACGGTTTGGGGACATCAGGCGTCAGGCCAGGTCAGGTCGTCGAGTGGAACGTGTATTGGGAACGACTATTTGGGTGTCCGAAGTGAGGGTGACATGAATGACATGGTGTGTGAGGAAGAAATGAGAGCTTGTTGGTATTGGTGAAGTGAGGTTGAAAAGAGTGGAGAGAAGAGATTGAAATGGCGATGTGCTACTGAAGCCCTATGTCCCACTAGGAACCTAAAGGTAAAACTATAATACATATATTTAAACTCCTTAAACCTGCCTAATTGTATCTGTGGAATGAATAAATGAACTGGAAATCATCATTGAATGAAGCTTTCAATATCACCATACCTCATAGTTAAACATTTGTGTTATAAACTTCATGTAGTTTAGACACGATACTGTTTGGAGACAGTTGGCCGTAATTTTAGATTGGACTTACGGTTAGGGATTACTTATGTCTGACTGAATTGCATTTAAGCATACTGGTCCCTGGATGATGATGGATTTAGTTATTGATACCACGAAGATTTCATCACAAAATTATTAAGTTGTAAGAAAAGTTAATGTGAGTCAGGAAATTTACAAATAATTCTGCAAACTCCTCTACGATTTCTATGCAGAAACAGTTGATTACGCATTTGATCAGAAGCGAACTTAATGTTTCAAATGGGAATGGTTTTAGGTTAGAATTCATCATGGACTGACATAATTCGGAGAAACATTGGAAATCTGGGAGTATTGGAGAACTGTTCCACCCTATTGTGGGACTCCTCAACAGTGCGCAACCATCACCCGCACCACCGGTAATCAAACCCACATCCTTCACGTTCCTTCGCCAGCACTTTTTTATTGAGCCATTGGGTCAGAATCCAATAGTCCATTTCCCTACTTCCATCAGTTAACGATGAAGTGCTACTGGATGGGTGTTAGCGAATCTCCAGACGACACGAAATAAGTAATCTACAAGTTTAATGAAAATTCATCACGATTCAACTTTAGCTTGAGAATCCTTTAACAACAAACAGTAATGGACATATTTACTTTACTTAGTTTAGAATAGTTCAATATTCCTCAGGTATACTTGTGATGGATATGTTAATATCATAAATCGACAGAAGTAGAAAATAGTAGGTCATTGGATTCCAAACCAATATCTGAGTGGCAAAGTAATCAATGAGAAACCTGACTGTTTCGGGCTTGATCTTTTGAAAAGTTACGAATGCTCACTGATAAGGAGTCGGAAAGTATGGTAAGGGAGCTGTTTTAGGTCTCTAGTTTTTCAGTAGTTCCCCAACACGTGTCAATGAGCGACGAAATTACTCTGAAAACTGGTTATGGTCCAGCTCCCCCTGTTAATCAATATTTATTAAATAAAGATAAAGGTGGATGTGTCCGCAGACAGCATACTTGCTAGCACTTATCACGATATACCATTAGCCTTCAAATTTCACCACGACTTGATCATCAGAGAAGAAAAAACAGATGAAAAGCATGTCACTTGGTTATTCCGTATGTCAGTGAATTTATCACAATTCATAAGGGTAATCGAACAAGTGATACCCCAAGTAATGATGCGATAGAATCAAACGGCATTTCGTTTACTCTGACGTAACAAAGTAGATATGACTCGTTGCTGAGGATTGACAAGTCGTACGACCAAGTTCCTATTTCAACTATCTCGCAAAGTTCATTCTGCGTGGCTATATTTTCTTACGATGCCTAAGAACAACGTCAGAATATTTTGAGGACATTCTGCATAAATTAGTTTGATTACTCTTAAGCTTCAGTATTACAGTCAAAACTAGTTAAATTACATAATGGCTTTTCATGTATAGAACATTTTAATACCCAAGACATTATAGATTGGTAGTGAATCACGAAGGAAATGACCAAGTAGAATCTTTATAAAATATTGACATCGGTGGAATGAAGGAAAATACAATGAAGGCACTTTCTAGACGAATTGTTTAAGGAATTTTTTCCTTCAGACTCTAGACGTTCTACTGAACATTAATAAACACTTTCTATTTGAATGACTTGGTAAAATATGATAGGCGGTTTTGCCTGCTCAGGTGCTATCTCTAACGCGAGTAACACAAACGAAGTGCGAAAAGGGGATGAATTTAAAGGTCACTCTAGAAACTAATGAAACAGACAATCACGTTTCTCCGTTCTATGAAAAATTGTCTTCCCAGCAAAATAACACAGCCTGATTGGTTATTTTGGCAGTTGTTAGGGTGGCCTTTAAAGTTGCCCAGAAAAAGGAGACCTGAATAGTTCTTGTCAAGGTTCTTAAAGCTCTAAATGGAGACGTTGGTGGGTGTGTATTCTGTCTCCTTTGAAATTGTATGGGTGATTAGACCGAAGGCCAATATAAAGAGTAAAGCGGTAACTGAATTCTATTAGATTGGGAAACTGTTTATTTTTACCTGTGCACAGTTATTGTCGTGATGTTTTGGTAGGGTTTACTTTGTCTGGTAAACTCAGCAGTGAGATCATATAAGCAGTTTTATTCTTCTAATGACTTATTATTTCCCACTATTGATTGATTTGAACGAATGCTTCGATATAACTGCTGATTTCTTCTTGGTATTAAGGAAGGATAGTGGCCAGCAATGGAATCCAAAGCGCGTGTTTCGTCCTATTTGGGGCTCGTCAGCTGGATACACCTACATATGCAAAAGTCCACTGATCATTTCGGTGCGAACCAACCATTAAATGGAAGCATCAGGTCTTAATACCAGACACTGCCCTTTGCACAAAAAGTGGTTATCACAACTTAGTAACCAAGTTAGTAACACTTCAGCATTTGAAGCCGTGAGGG